TGGAGATGGGGGGCGAGGGTTTTCTGGGGTTTCGATTCGGATGGGGTGCGAGGGGGAGGTACGCACCAAAGCGAGGGAGGAGTTCTTACACATTGCCGAGCGCGCGCCTGGCAAGGACGCCACCTTCGATGAGAAGAGGGACTGGGATAAAAGGATAATGGAACAAATAAGCCCTCTTCTGTCGTCCCCGGCGCCCGAAAGAAGACAAAGCAACACGTACAAGCTCGGCGGGCGACCTCTGCCAGGACGGCGCAGCAGCAGGCGACCAGAGCAGCGCTGATCACATTGATCGAAGATGGTGGGAAATTGGAGGGCGGGGTGCACGAAGATACTTGCGACCACGCTTTGAAGGCCAAGGCTAAGAACCAGTTCGAAAAAAAGGAAGCACCAAACGACAGCAACGGTGGCAATCCAGACGGGCCTCGCTACCAAGAAGGCGAACAAGGAGGCCGCGGCGGCCAAGGCGGCGGCAGCCAAAGCGGCGGCTGCCTCTGCACCAGCAGGCAGTAGCAGCGGCGCGGCGGCGGCGGCGCCGCCGTGAGCAGAATCGGAACGAGAACGGGTGCGCCGTGCCACCGAGCGTGGGTGCGAAACGAAAACGACCCATCCATGCAGCAAGGCATGCGAAAAAAAAGAGAGTGGGAAGGGAGGAGAAACGAATGGAGGAGAAGCAGGGGGCGTGGCGAGGGGCACGGTGGAACAGCGAGTGGCCGACCCGACTGGGTTGTGCACCACGGCGCACCTTGCAGGGAGGCGGAGCAACAACCCCCCCCGGCACTCCCGCGAGGAAGAGCGCAAATCCCACCCCCCCCAGCCACCTCCGCGGACGCGACGCGGCCAACCCCCCCTGGCACGCGAGCAACTGGCCACCTCCGCGGACGCGGCGCGGCCAACCCCCCCTGGCACGCAACGAGCAACTCCCCCCCCCCCCCGCACCCCCCCCGACGCCACGGCCCCCCCCCCCTAGCATTCCAAGGGGGGGCGATTATAAAAAGATTCAGAGTATGCATGTTCGGTCTCTCAAGGCTAGTTTCGGGCTTCAGTGCCGTCGAACACCAGCTCGCGGCGAAATGCCAACCCTGGGGAAGGGGGCGGGTCGGACGAGAAGGGAGGTTAGCGAAATGGGGGTGGGTCAGAATTTGTTGCATGCAGCTGGTTGCGGCCCCGCGGTTCAGCGCGAGCCACGACACACGGCCGCTCCTGGCGCCACGAGGCGCCAGGAGCACCAACTGCGTGCAGCCGATTCGCCCCACCCCCATTTGCTACCCCACCACCGCCAGATCGTGCCCACGTCCACCGCGTCGGAGTCGTGCCCTGGGTGCTATTGACATCTGCTCGCCCGAGTCCCGCTCCCCGAGTCCCTGGCCCTGGGGCACGACACCGCGGCAGTGGATGTGGACACCCCGGCGGCACAGCCCCCCCCCCTTTCGTCCGACACGAGGGCCAAGGAGAGCGGCAGGCGTCGTGGCCCCTCCAACTTGGAGAGGGGGGCTCCGCCTTCGGAGAGGCGGCGGCCGCGGTCGCGCCCCGCCTTGCTCCTCGCCGAGCCCATCATGAGGGTGTCCCTGCGGTGCCGCGGCCGATCCAAGTCGATGTCGACTCCCCTGCCGGTGCGGCCCGATTCGATGTCCCCCCCCCCTTGACCAGACGGAAGCCAGCGGAATGATGCCTCGTGGAATTGCCTCACTCTCCACCCCGCCCCCCTTTTCCGGATAGACAGTTGGCTCCTCCCTGCCTCACGCCCAGACGCGTCAGTAGGGCGGGCCAGGCGATTTGCCTGAGACTTCCTCAGCTGGAAGTCGCAACAGGTAGAAAGATGGAGTACAAACCGTTTTCAGCACAGTTTTCTCGTCTTAGCGCCGCCCTCATTCACTTGACGAGGTTGCAACACTCACAGGGACGGAGGGCGGCTCCTTCTCAAGGTGTGCTTATCGATTCGGCGCCACGCACATTCGTCTTTTACGTTTGCAGGAATCACAGGGATGGGGGGGGTTCGTTGTCAAACTGGTTGCTGTTTGCCTTCGCACCGCGCGCGTTCGCGTCGAGCGCCTGCAGTGCTTATGGATTGATGGTGGGCGTTGTCAAAGTGATCTTATCGCCTTGTCTCCACGCGCATTCGTCTGAAAGGCCTACAGCAGTTACTACAGTAATGGAGGGCGGCACCTTTTTAGGATTGGGCTATTGCTTGAGACGTCCTTTACCTTGAAGGCCATACTCCGCACCACCCTCAACAGCGCTGCATGTTTTCTCGAGCGGTCCCTGCTCAAAATGGGGATCTCGTCCGAAACGTCTCTTGAATGAATGGCCGTACGTGCACGCTTTTGCAACATTTACCCGAAGAGTGGTGGTTCTTTGTTTTCAACATTGACATGTCGCTGCACACCTCGTTGAACTAGAAGATCTTTCATTTTCGCCTTCATCACTACGCGCTGTAAGAGGGCACGGCATTTTCTTTTCAAAACCAGGCTTTTTCGGCGCTTGTCTTCAAGTGGGTGCCTCTTGCAGTGAAGAAGAAGGCCTGTAGGGGCTTCTGGCGCGGGGACTTTGGACGGGTGGGTGTATTGCAGCACCGTTGTTGCATGTTAGGTTTACTCTGGTCCTCCTCCTCCTCCTCCTCCTCCTCCTCCTCCTCCTCCTCTCCCTCTATTTCTTGGCCACGGGGCGCGTCGCATGCGACCCCCCACCCCCACCCCAGGGGCGGTCGCCCCTGAGGGGGGGTGATCAAACTGACATGCCAGAGGGAGAGGAGGGACGGAGGAAGGAGGATACCCGTGTGCCTCGAGGGGAGGAGGAGGGCGGGAAGGATGGTGTGTGGTGGGGTAGGAGGGTCGTTGGCAGCGCGGCGGCGGGGCCGCACTCGCCAAGGTGGAAGGCGCAGAGGCCACTCCCACTGCTCATAGGACCCCCCCCCAGGGCGCCCACCAGTCCTACGTCGGCGACCCGAACCTCAGAACGAGAGACTGGTGGCCGCCTGGGGGGGGTTCCACCGAGCGTGGGGGAGGTTTGCGCTTCGTGGCGGAAACTGTAGATCTTTCCCAGAAGCATTTTCACCTCCCCCCATCATGATGAATCCCCCCCATCCCTAGATGCAGGCGGCGCAAGAGGAGCTGGCAGTGTGCAGGCTAGCTGGAGGGTCTGGCAGCTGAGTAGGCAGTGTGTGAGTGAGGAGGAGGAGGAGGAGGAGGAGGAGGAGGAGGAGGAGGAGGAGGAGGAGGAGGGAGACGAGGAGAGGACTCTCTCCTTCTCCCCCTCCTCCTCCGCCTCCACTTCGCTATTCCCCACGCCTCCACCTGCGAGGGGGAATGAGGACGATGCTGATGATGAGGAGGAGGAGGAGGATGAGGAGGAGGCGGAGATGAGATGAGAACAGAGCGGTCGCGAAGCGAGTAAAATGCACCTCGAACCCTGACCACCTCCGAGAAGACGAGTAACCAGTAGACCAGCACCACGAACTCAAAGGAAAGCCTGTGCTGCAGCAGCTGCGAAGCTGTCGGCGGTCTCTGGAGTGCCGACAGCGAACTCCACCAGGTCTTCATACGCTTCCTCCACGGGGTAATCCTCGCCAGGCGCGAACCGCTCTCGGAGACGGTCTTCCATCTCATCCCGTCGGCTACCCTGTGCGAGCGAGGTTGTCCAGCTCCGAGCACACTTCCTCGAAGTCGAAAGGACCGATCAGCACAACATGATTGTGGAGGTATGCCCGCATCTCCGCGCGACGGCCTCCCACCACGAAGTCCGCCATATCCCTGCAGAGCTCCTTGTACGGGTCCCACGGCTCATCCTCCGAGTGCCCCTCCGCCTCGTTCTCCGTGCCGTCCTCGAACCCTGACGCGACAGCGTCGGCGCAGACCACGTCCGCGACGCCATCGACGACGACCTCCGCCAGCCGCACCTCCCGCGCCTCCGAACGCGGAGCGGGGATCTCCCGTGCCGCTGGGCCAGAAAATACTCCCCAGGCGGCGGCGGGAGACTGCAAAACAATAGCTGATGTTGTCGGGAGCTCGGTCCAGCGGCAGGAAGAGTACAATACACAGCCGCACGTGCCGTTGCTCCCGACTATGGAGGCGGGGGCGCGCGGGACGAACTCGGGAGCCTCAGCACGCATACGGGCGGCCTGGCGGGAAGGGGAGCGCCTCCTCTCCTCCAGCCTGGGCCCATGCTGCTCCCGACGGAGTTGGGTGGCCGAGGCGTGCTCCAAATCGATGTCCTCCGCGTCGGCGTGCAGCGCGTCGTTGCGGCGGAGCACGTCGAGCCACTGGGGCTCCTCGCCGCGGACCAGGGCCACGACAGCAGGCACTACCGCCCTGAGCCGAGCCCCAACCTCCGAGTTCCCCACGATGAGCGTGAGCGCCTCCTCAGCCAGCTGCTCCTGCGCGGCGAGCTGGTCCACCTTGCCAGAGAGTCGTTGAACGAGACGGTCAGCAGAAACACGAGCTCGCGACCTCCGTGAAGCACGTGATGATGAAAGGGCGCCACCGGCTGGGGCGCCTCCCGCAGCCACCTCCACGTCGGAGGCCTCCCCGCTTCTCATACCGCGAGACATGGTGCATAGCGAGCTTGAGCAATAGGGCTGTCATCCGCTGGTCGATGGCATGAGCCAAAATGGCTACGGATGAGGAGGAGACGGAGAGGGAGGAGGAGGAGGAGGAGGAGGAGGAATTGGAGAAGAGGACGATCAGCAGAAGGCAGTCAGGGCGTACTAGGTCACACCATATCTTTGGGCGTAGAAAATGAGGCCTACCTCTCGTCCTCCTCCTCGTCCTCCTTTCCTCCCGCGCCCTTCTCCCAGGCCCCCCTCGTTTTCCTGCTTCTCTTTCCTTCCTCTCCCTCTCCCCCCCTTCGGCTCCTCATCTCTTCCCAGGTCGTCGGCGAGAACTACGGAGACGAACGCGACGACGGCGACGCGCGACCACGTCGGCAGCACTGCTGGCGACGGACGACGGCTGTGACGACTCTGCTGCCGGCCACGGACGACGACGGCGAGCTATGCCCCCGGCCAGGCGGCGCGCCCGCCAGCGCGGGCGCGGGCGCGGGCCCCGACGAGTGCGAAGGCGGGGCGGCGTGCTGCCGCGCCGCCGCGTTCGTCGTCGCCGTCGCAGCGTCGCCGTCGTCGTCGTCGTCGTCGTCGTCGTCGTCGTCGTCGTCGTCGTCGCTCGTGTCCTCGCCCTCGTCGCCGTCATCGTCGCTCGTGTCCTCGCCCTCGTCGCCGCTGCCGTTGTCGTCCTCTTCACCGTCGCGGCCGTCATCGTCGTCGTCGTCATCGTCGTCGTCATCGTCGTCGCGGCTGTCCTCGTCGTTTTCGTCGTGGTCGTTGTCGTCGTCGCCGCCACCACCGTCGCCGCCGGCGCTCGTCGGAGGAGGAGGGGACTCGAGCCGTTTTGGTTGGCATAGCGGCATAGCCCCCGAGGCTTCATCTGAGTGATGGTAAATTGTATGTTTGATCGTTCTCGTCATGGTTTCAACATGCACGCCGAATGGTGGGACGCTACATATTTTCGACGTGATATCTATGGCAGGGCAGTGTAAATCCCACATTCGCCAGCATTGATTTTGACAGACGTTTTCTTCTGGACTTTGGGACCGACACAAGCAGAGCGTATCGTCCAGTGAGATTCGCCAAACAGGTTGCTTGAAAACCTACGTGGGCGATAACGATCGAAGTACATGGTCCAAGAAGGCGACGATCTCGTGCAACGTGACTTTTACATTGACGCGAACTTGCATGTGATGCTTGTTCGTGTTTTTCGAACACATATAGTATGTGCGTGTGTGTGTTTGGTCCTTTGCGTTAGCTGTTTGAATGAAAATGGTCTAACTTCCCTCGCTGATGCCTGGCGAGACATTTCGAGAGCATTCATAACCAATCGAACGTGTCATGGTGTCTCGGAATTCGGCGTGCTGTGGTCGACAGTTGATTAGGCGACGGGCATTCGCATACGGATCGAGATTTGATCCGTCGCTCTGTGATCATGCGTGTACGTCGGTATTTGAAGCGGGGTTAGACATCTTGAACACGCGGGGTGAGAGGCGCACAGCATCGACAGGTCAGTATCATTGGTGATTCGTTCGCAAGCGTATACAAGGCACACAACAGCAAAGTTTCGTGGCGTCCTGGCCATGCAGGTGGTTGTTTCACACACGTGGATGCCACAAGCATGCCGACTCCATGTCTCAGACAGATGATAGCGCACATAACCAGTTAACCGATTTCATGCGAAGTGGAGGGGCTACTGTAAGGGAGCAGTGAGCAGGTTGTGTCTGTGCGTGTGAATTGTTGAGCGCCAGTGGCCCTTGCGGACTCTCCGTAACCATTTTGGCTCAAGTTCGAAACGCTCCCCCGGCGCTTCGAGCTTGGACACTGCCAAGGGGTTGGCCCGAGCGTCCCGAGGTTAGGCCCCGCAATCTTCTCCAGCCGTGCACCAAAGCACGCGGTGTTCAAGTGTAGGAACAATTTCGCGGATCACTCCAGTCGCCCCATCGGCCGTGATGTCGGGCTCTGCTGAGGTGCTGGCTGCGATTGGCTCGATGAAAGCCGAGTTGCCCACGGCGATTGGAGCCGCCGGCGCTCGCACGGACGCGTTGGAGGTACAGATGCGGGGCCTGCAGGCCCAACAAGTGACAGCAGTTCAGGAGATGCAAAGTTTAATCATCACTTTATCGGCCAGCTGGGAGGAGCGTTTCCAACAGGTAACGGGTTCGCCGATCATGGTCGACGATGGCAGTGGCTGGCATGACTGTAAAGAAGGTACGCCATCATCACTGGCTGCGATCGAGGAGAAGATGGAGGCTAAGTTGCAGAGCGTTCAGGTGCAGCTCGAGACGATTTCACGTACGCCGTCGGCCGCTGCGAGTACGGGCAATAGCAGCTCCCGCGAGCGTCCAGCGATTCACCCGTCGCCCGAGATGTACACGGACAAGCTGCAGCACAATGAGAAGGACCAGCACAACCCTTGCCGAATATGGATTGGTGGTTGGCCTCGTGAAGTATTCTCGCAGTACCGTAAAGAGCATTGGGGTGGTACAAGACGCAGGTGCCGCAGGATATGGTTGCAGGCGTAGAACCCTCGCTCCAACGTGCGAGCCGTTCGTATTCAGTGATTTTTCAAGTCCGAGGAGGCGGCCGCTCGATTTAAACTGGGGGCATTCACAACACCTTCGATGTGGAATGACTATCGTGATCGTGCCAAGAAGTTTCCGATTCGAGTTCGGGGTGACATTCCTCTGCCTGCGCGCATGAGGAAGAACGCGTTTTCCTGTTTGTGGGAGTCAATGCAGGTAAAGCTGACGAGCAAATGCTTCTGGGACGGTTCGTTTCGCATGGGTTGTTCTGGATCTGACCCAGCCCGTTTTCGAGTATCAACCGACGTGGACTCTTGGACCTTATTTACGCTGAAGACGGAGGGTGGCCAGTTCGTGACTGCACCGAACTGGGAGGAGTTATATCAATGAAAATTCAGTAGCGAATTAGCCGTACCTGTAGGATGAGGTGCGGCGGATACCCGCGGCGAGCTTTTCAGAGGCGCAGTGCCAGCTGAATGTTTTGGGCGGCATCTGTGAGGATGCGCGCGATCCAGCTGTGCATGCTGAGCCAGCAGCGCCGCCGCTTCTTTCTGACCTGTTGCCGTCGGTCTCTCTCCTCCACCAAGTCATGCAGCACCGTGCGAGTTGTCGGGCCGTGAGCTTGCTTTTCCAATGTTGCCCCATCCTCTCCGTTCTCTGTCTGTTCTTGGAATGCTCGTGGTATGATCATGTCCATGCGCTCTCTGCGTCAGGGTCGTGCTCAGAAGAAGATGTGTATGTTCGGGCGTCCTGGTATATCCCAGGATGTTGTTGCTACCCAGGAAACCCACGGTCACCCAGGTGATATTGGCCATCTCGCTACACAGCTCCCTTCTCATCCCCCTGGCTACACGTTCTTCCCTGATAGTGCTGGCACTGGTGGTCTGACCACCGCAGTCAGCAATACATTTGCGCGCAACTTTTCAAGGATTGAACATCGGCTGCTGATTGATGGCCGGGTGCTCTTGACTGAGATGACGGGTCTTCACGGCCAGTGAAATATTGTTAACGTCCGCATGCTTAACACGTACGATAACATCAACATTTACCTAACTGTGCTTCGCGTTCTCCGCAGTGGGGTCTCGATGCCTGCTGAACATTTAACTATCTTTCTTGGCGATTGGAATTATACACTCGAGGGTGAGGGGCGTCATGCAGCATGTGATGGGCTCAGGAAGCCAGGGTGCCGTAGGCGCGCTCGGGCTTTCAACGACATCCTGCCCGGTCTCATCGAGTTCTATCGAGATATGGACACACGTAGGGCTATCGTAGATGCCGTGATTGAGCGCGCTGCGCGGTTGGATCGTATTTCTGCTCGCTGCCTGGCGCGATTCTTGCTGATCTGACTATTGCAACATCTACGATAGGCCGTCTCAAAATCGATGTACCGTCGGACCGCGTCCCCGTCGCGTCGAATATCTCGAGGTGCACCCTCGACCAGTCGGAGTGCAAGAATGTGCCGCTATGGCTAGCCAACTCCCCCGAGTTTGCTGGTGAGCTGGATGGGCTCCTGCTTGCGCCTCCTGCTGCTGAAAAGAGAGTGCTGCGCGATTGGCCGGGGCCAAATCTCGCGTGCATTCTGCGGCGACGCGTTCGCGCCGACGAATCACATTGAGGATTGCCAGCGCGCATGAGGAGCGTCATCGTTGGTCTATGGCAGCTCTCCCTGGCTTTCTGCTACAGAACGTTGAACTGATCGATGATGCCCTTGTCCGTTACCCTAAGCTGTCTGAAAACATTGATGACGCTTCTCTTGAATGTGCTGATCCGTTCCCTCTCTGCCAGCATGTTCGCGAACTGTGCATGGGGGTTCTTGAAGCGGAGACGATGGAGTTGGGCAATCTCCCTCCGGATGATTTCCAGCGGCAGAAGGAAGAGAAACATATTTCCCGTCGTCGAAGTTTTTGGCAGCAATTCCGTCGTCGCACATGGCTTCAAGGAGTGGTTGACGAACGCGGCGGCCCTTGCCCTGCGCCCGAGGCCTCCGCCGAGGCCCTAAGGCTCCACTGGGGGGATGTTTTGTGCGAGGTGCAAGAGGGCCCCTCTAGGTGCCTGATTTACTGTCTTTTATCAGACAGGTGCCCATCGGGGCGAAGGTGTCTTGAGAAGTGGACTATGAGACTCTCTTCGGGGACATTTTTAAGACTCGCAAGCGTTGCGTGCCTGGGCCTGATTGGGTTCCTTTTTTATTGTTGGCGTCTTCCAGATGCCCCTCGTGTGCTTTTCGGTTTTTACCGGGACCTGGTATCTGGGCAGATTGAATCTCATCTTCGGGGCATGTTGGAGGTTCGGGCGGCTTCCCTGCCGAAGGGGGGCTCGAGAGGAAGTCTTCAGGGCGCCTGCAAACGCGCGTCCACTTCCCATGGCGAACACAGACGCCAAGCTTTTGAGTTCGTGCATGGGCCGTCCGTTGAACGAGGCTGCCCAGCATGTGGTCTCGCTTTCGCAAGCTTGTGTGTCTGGCCGCAGCATGGCTGCGCATGTTGTGCGGGCTGGGTCTTAGGCGCTCTCGGGGTATTTCTTAGACGTGGAAGATAGCTCGCTGGTCCTGGCGGACTACTCTGCCGCCTTCCCCATCGATCTCGATTGATTGGTTCCTGGCGGTCTTGGCCGCGATGGGGGTCCCGAGGTTCATTTTTTTTCCGCGTGTACTATTCTGATAACATTGATTTAGTCTTTATAAGGGGCAAGGTCTATGCTGCGATTGACGCTGCTAGAGGAGTTCGCCGGGGGGGGGGGGGGGGGGGGGGGGGGCGCATCTATGCTTCTTTTCTGTTTGGGAACTGCTCCGCTCCAGATGCGCATCAGAAAGTGCTGCTGGGGTTGTCTGCGCCTCGAGCTTGAGGGCGCTGATGACTGTGCGCGTGGTATTCGCGATGCCATTGCCCATCTCGGCCACTTGTTTAAAGTGATTCTGTCTGTCGAGGCCGCTGTTGGCCAGTCTTTGAATATCCACGCGCGTATGGCGCTCGTTCACGCCGCTGTATTTCAAGCTCGTCTGGAGCAATATATCTATGATCACCTCCCTGAGCTGATGCATATTCATGTCGTCCTCTCGTGTAGGTACCTTGGAATGGTGATCGGTTGCACTGCTCGCGAATGCTATTGGCGGAAGCGGGTTGTCTAGTTTGCCCCCCGCGTGGGAGAGGTGCGCCAGGCTTGCCTCGCTTTCGCTAAGAATCCCCCGACGTCCCACACCCTCTGCCTCAGGATTTTGTCCTTCGTCATGCAGTTCGCCCCTCTCTCGCGTGATGTGAGTGTGCGGCGTATAAGAATGCTCTGCAACTTCTGGTTGTTGGCCCGCGTTTTAGTTCTAATTCTTTACGCTTCGCGTATCCCCGCCAGCCCATCTCGCAGCAGCAGCTCTTGCGAAGCATGCCGACAGTAGTGTTTTTTTCAGGCGTGTGTCCGCTTTGCCCCGCATATCTCCCCTGTTCCTCCTTCCCCCCGCCTCCTTGTACATCCTCCTTGTGGGGGGGGGGGGGGGGGGCGGGAAAAGGGCGAAGCGGAGGAGGAGGGAGAGACAGCGCTCCTCGTGATTTGAGTCGTTTGGGGTTTCTCGTCCTGGTGTGAGTCGTTCGGGCCCTTCTTCCTGGTGTGAGTCGTTCGGGCTCTTCGTGGTGTGAGTCGTTCGGGCTCTTCGTCCTGGTGTGAGTCGTTCGGGCTTCTCGTGGTGTGAGTTGTTCCCCCTTCCTCCTGGTGTGACTCGTTCGGGCTCCTCGTGGTGTGAGTCGTTCGGGGCCCGCGTCGTGGTGTGAGTCGTTCGGGCTCCTCGTGGTGTGAGTCGTTCGGGCGCCTCGTCCTGGTGTGAGTCGTTCGGGCCCCTCCTTGTGGTGTGAGTCGTTCGGGCTCTTCGTGGTGTGAGTCGTTCGGGCCCCTCGTCCTGGTGTGAGTCGTTCGGGCTCCTCGTGGGGCCTCTTGGGGGCCTCTTGGAGCCTCTTGGGGCCTCTTGGGGGCCTCTTGGGGGCCTCTTGGGGGCCTCTTGGGGGCCTCTTTGGGGGCCTCTTGGGGGCCTCTTGGGGGTCTCTTGGGGGCCCTTGGGGCCTCTTGGGGGCCTCTTGGAGGCCTCTTGGGAGCCTCCTGGGGGCCTCTTGGGGCCATCTTGGGGCCTCTTGCGACCTCCTCAGAAGCGCATGAGCGCTGCCCCCTGAGAAGGACAAACTGAGCCCAAAACCTTTGTAAAACCAATGCTTTTGCTATGAAGGACGAGGAGCGCTGCCCCCTCAGAAGGCCCAGATGGGGCCACAACCGTAGTAAAATCAATGTTTTTTGCTTCAAAGACGGTCTGAGGCGCCAAACTGCCCCCCCCCCCCCCTCGGGGCCAGAATCCTCGTGAGGGTCGTAGTTTTTTGGCCCTCCCGGGAGTCGAAAAAGACCCCCCTGACACCACTCGGGACTCCCTCTCCAGGTCCAGGGGGAGGGGGTAGGGGGAGGGGTAAACCCCTCCCCGAAGGGGAAGAAGGGGGGTTGAGGACAGAGAGAGCTCTCTAAACCACTCACGCCCAAAGGGCTGGTGGGACTATGAGATGTTGACGAATATTACTTCCCTGGGGGCTCCTGGTAAGTATGAAAACCTGGAAGCTGTGTCTTGGGCTACGAAGTTCAGTCTGGTTTCGCGGTGTTCGGAGTTTCTGGGGATCTGAGAAGATTTGGAAAAAGGGTGTTTCAGAGTGACGGCGCCTGTGTTGTTCGCACTGCGCCTGGCTGGGCCAGTGCGGGTTTCGCCCCTGCAGTTTTGGCTACAGGTCGAGGTGTTCGAGGTATGCTGGTGGCGTCTCCAGGGGCATCCCTGAGGAGGGGAAGCTCTTCTAGGCCGCCGTCTACCGTGCGCTGACTGCCTCGCCTGATTTCTCCCATGATGCCAAGATCGGCCTGATGATTCGGATGAGGAGGCGCATGGTTGAGGTTCCAGAAGATGCCGCGGAGCAGGTTTCGAAAGCTGTCGAGCTTGTGATTCGGAAGACGGGGCCATACCTTGGCCTGATTTTTCTGGCGAGTGCCATCCAGAGGTTTGAGCGCGTCTGCCAGATTTTACTTCCAGTCTCACGGCTGTCAATTCGGTTGCTGCTCCGATACCCACGACCCCTCCTTCTCCGATCTAGACGAGGTTGCTCATTGCTCGCGTTGCTCACGTTCCTACTGGATATGTGAACATTGGCTTGGAGAACTGATGCCTCCCTTCTCTGAATCTCCACCGTGGCTTTTCTCTTTGCTCCCGACCGCTGAACGACCTCACACGGTGCTGCTTTTCACTGCTGCAATGCTGGATGCGTTTATGTTTGCTCACAACTGTCGCCGCCACCAGCTGTCGTCGGGCAGTGTGTCTCAGCAGATACACGCTCGGATGCGAGCCGCGGCGCGCAGGCATCGCCCTGCTGCTGAGGCTTGGAGGCTTGAGCGACGGGTGCGACTTTTTTTCGGGGCCCCTCGTAATATGCGAACTTGTGTGCGATCGTGTCTGGGGGATGGGGCCCCTGGGCTCGAGGCACCTGGCTCGGGAGGGCCTTCTGCACTGCTCTGCCCTGGTGGGCGGACCACCTTGTCAACAAACGCCAGCAAGGTCAGCGTGAACTGACAAAACAATGGCCCTGGCGGATTCGGATTAGCGCAGACGCAGGTTAGTGCATCCCCGGAGGGATGCATGAGAGGACAGCGGGGGAGGGAGGGAGATAAAGGCAGCGAGGGGGAGGGTAGGCCGGGAGGAGGCGGCTATTGAAAGATGGAGGAAAGGTAGGGATGAACAGTATTAGGACGGAGGAGGGGGGACGCACTCTGTAATGCCACCAGAAAAAGGCAAGCTGCGAGCAGGAGGTTCACGGATCGCGGCAGGAAGGAGAGGGGAGGGAGGGAGGGGAAGGAGGGAGGGGGGAGGCGGACAGGAAGGACGGAGGAGAGGGGGAATGGAAGGATGGGCGGGAACGTTTGTTGGTGGGTCTCGTGGTATGGCTGGTGCTGGAGGACCTGCGGGTACATAATATCTTCTCCGTCGCCCCAAGAGGGAAGAGAGTGAGGGAGGGAGGGAGGGCATGGAGGGAATAAGTGAGGAGGAAGGAGGGAGGAGACCGAGGGAGTGGAGGGCGGCGTTTGAGGGCCGCGGCCGAGGCGGCGAGGCTGCCGACGGGACGCAGGGCCAGACCAGGGCTGGGTCCTACGCCGACAGGAGCCAGGGCCTGACGTTGCAGGCGCCGCGGCGGGGGTGCAGAAGAGCAGGTGGCGCGGCGCAGCCAAGCGCTGAAGTGAGGAGTGAACGGCCGTCCCAGGCCGCGGGCATAAGGACAGATCCGAAGGTCCGCGTGGATTTCTTGGTTCGGCGCCCGACCCACCCCTGGGGGTCGCCTCCAGCGCCAGACCCAGCGAGCTCATCGCGCAGGGGGATGGGGTCCAGCTCCGACCGTCAGACAAATCCGCACAGACCTCCGGAAGTTGATAGTTCTGCAGATGCAGGTTTCCCCACATCACACATATGAGGTCATTGTCATTTTATCACCCACACCCGTTTCCTCTCCCCGTTTTAGCACATCACATTCAGACCACTCATGTTGGTAACACACACATATCAGACTCGTTCACAATGACATTCACTCAGATCCATATTCACACACACACACATCTAGAACACTCAGTTCAGTCTCACGCTACGCCATGCATCGTGTGCTATCGCGGCATATATGCTTTCGCTCGGCTTGGGAGCCGATTCCTTTGGTGAGCATTCGATATTCCAGCAGTGTGTGTCTTGGATGTGCAAGTTTACGCGATGATTCACGGAGCTCCGTACAGCCCGGCAGTTCTCTGTACCGCCATTTGCCGGTCGAGTAATCGCTCGCATTTTCATCAGGGGGGCAGGATCGGTCCACCCCTTAGACTGCAATCCATGGATTGCTACAGCGTCCTTGCACTGTGGCTTTTTCTCGGTCGATAGCGGCCCCATAGCGTCCCGATCGCGTCTGCGCGGCGCTTCTGTCCTGCCCCTGCTTTTGATTCTTCTTGCAGTACTATCGGGTCCGGGGCATCCCCCAGCTGACGGGCCCGCCCCTCGGCACACTCCCAGTGCCCTTTGCCCAGGCAAGCCTTTGAAAGGGGGTCTTGCGTCTGTTTTCATCCCGCAGTGGCTAACGAGACTGCCAGTTCGCTGTCGGGCGCTATCGGGCGCTGTCGGACGCTATCGGGCGCTGACCAGACGCTACCGAGCGCTGTCGGACGTTAGCCGGACGCTATCGGACGCTATCCAAGGGTACAAGGGTCACGGAGGCAACCCATGGATTGCATCTTAACGCCCCGCTCTGGCTCCGCACAATCTGAACCAACGCAGTCCTCCTCCTCCTCTTCCTCTTCCACTTTCTCTCATCGATTTTTGTGCTGGATTCTTGGCTTGAGCCGTTTAGGTCACCAGGCAGTAGTTTCCACATAACCTCCCGAATAGCCGCGGGCCCGATACGTGTCAGGTCAAATTCGTATCACACGCCAGTTGGCTTTCCTCCTCCTCTTCCTTCGTCCTCCTCTCCCTTCGTCCTCCTTCCTCTCCTCCGTCTCCTTTGCGGGAACTGCTGGCCGGGCAATCATTGTCATGGGTAGTTGTTGGTGCCATTGTGTTCGTGCCCCATTTACCATCCCCGAGCCAAGGTTTATTGCACGTGTTTGCCTATTGCAGTTCGTCTGGCGTTCCCGGTGTGTTTGGCGATTTTCTGTTTCGCACTGCGGTCATGCATAGCCGACGCGTTGTGCGAGCAAGTGTGTGGCGGCATCCAGGTTTTGCGCTGGCGAAAGATTGAGCACTCAGCTCACCCAGATCGCTCATATTCTCAATGCTTCGTGTCTCTCCACCAGCACATCCAGACACGAGTCCCAGCGCAGCTGCCCTGAACTGGGGAGCGTGGCGCCATTTGGAGATCTCGGAGAGTTTCTGTGGGCCAGAAGCCCCGTGGATGCCCCCTTCGGTTTGTTGGGGTATCTTTCGGGGGTTTCTTAGAGACCTCTTCGGGCGTCTTGGGGGCCTCTTGCCAGCTGTTGGGGCGCCTCTTGGGGCCTCTTGAGGACCTTTTGCGGGCCGCTTGGGGGCCGCTTGCGGCCTGTTGGTGGCCTCTAGGGGGCCTCCTGGGGCGTGGGCCCCAAACGATGTGTGTCTAGCATGTGGCGCAACTCATATGGCGCAATTACTTTTGACAGACTTGGAGTTGTCAACTTCATTGCCCGCGCAATCATCCCACACACCCATGCGCAATTTGGCTTGTAAAACCTATGTGGCGGCGACTGCAACTAGGGCTTGGCGTTGCCTGGTAATTCTCTGCGGCCGCGCGGGCCCGCGCATGCTCGCACGCGCATCGGCCAGCTAGTTCGGCGCGACCGACGCGGCCGCGGTGGCGGTGAGCGCCAGGCACTTCCCAGCGGGCACTTCAGTGCGAGTCGGTGGCTGTGCGGGCCCGGTATCATGGCGACGTCGACAACTGTCGACACGGTGGCGCTGGTAGTGATGATTGTGACGATGACGATGACGACGGCAACACTGATGACGGCGCCGATGCTGATCACGCCGGGTGACGATGACGGTGCCCTTTCATCGGCGATGACGGTCTTGGAGGAATTTCGGCATGCGCGCGCGGCCGACGCGCGCGAGTGGCCCGCGTGGTATGTTTCCACAGGGATCGCGCAAGGGCGTTCGAATGCTTCGGCGGCGCGAAAGGTTTGTTTGGTCGAATTGTTCTGAACATGTTGGAAGCTTATCGTTGTTTTGCGCGCCCATTTTTTCAAACACTTCTGTTGCAACACCACGTGTATCTTATATGTTGTCTGGACACCAGATATTGACATCCTGGAGAACCTTTGGTTCAGAAGTGATCACTGCATGCGCGCGCGGCGGCGCGCGCGTTTGAACATCGCCCCGTGTTTTTGCAAAGAGTTCTGGCGACAACACTCGCGCAAGGGCGTTCGACATGCGCTCGCGACGGGCACGTGTGGCAGCAATGTATGAACCAAATTACATTGGTGCAAACGCAAAAGCGCAGGGTTGCCTGATCAACTCGTGTTGTGGAGCAATGTTTTGTGTATGTTTTCGGAGCACTCGATTTGGACAGCCTTCCGAAACCGACGGTTTTTGAACGATTTTGGCATGCGCGCGACGCGATGACGCGCGCGTGTGTGCATTGCGTCCCGTTTTTGGCAAGGGGTTTTCGAACAGTGATTCGTTTGATAAGCGGGAACTATATGGGGGGGAAAGGCGATTAGCGTGTGGCTGGGGCAGTATGGATTCATTTTTGTTGGGCGAGTGCGCGGAGTCACATATCCCTTGCTCGCGCAATCATTCCACCCACCCGCATCTTGGTTAGCAAAACCCATGTGGCGGCGATTGCGACGACAGCTTGTCGCTGGCTGGCGGATCGCTGCGGCCGGTCTAGCGCACGCAGGCTCGCTCGCAAAGCCGCCAATTGTTCAGGCGCGACCGACGCGGCCGCTGTGGCGCTGACCGCTGGGGACTTCCCGGCGAGTCTCACAGGCTGCGTTCGCGCGCTGGTACTTCATTGCGACTCGGTCATTCGGGCGGGCGCGGTATCATTGCGACGGCGAGAACGGCAGGCACCATGGTCATAGTAGCGACGCTGGTGGTGATGATGTCAATGACGACGGCAAGGCCAATGACGGCGCCGGTGCTGATCACGCCGATGACGATGATGGTGGCCATGTGTCGGTGGTGAAAGTTTTGGAAGGATTTCAACATGCGCGAGAGGCGACGTGCGCGAGTTGCCCGCATGGTATGATTTTGTTGGGATCGTGCCCACCCCCCGCACGCGGGCAAGGTTGTTGCGCGCGCGAGTGGCCCGTTCGGGCGCGATTGATGGACATGTTGAAATAAACGATCGTTTCGCACGAATTTGCAAGAGCGCGCGCATTTATTTGACACATCATGTTGCAACCCCATTTGTGTTATATTCATATATGTATCGAGGTTGGAACCGTTACGAACCAATGTAACACAATATGCAAACAACGAATGTTGCATGCGCGCGCGGCGACGCGTGCGTGTTTTGTTGTTGTTGTTGTTGTTGTTGTTGTTGTTGTTGTTTTTTATTGCCATGTGTTGCGTCACATATGCTTGGACACGAATGTGCTTGTTGATAAGCGAGGGCGCGATCAGACTTTTGTTTGTCAGGAATGGGGGAAGGCACCTGGTTCGGCTGTGATGATGCGGATGTATATTTCGATTGAACGGTTGGGCATAAACGTATGTACGTATCACATCCCCCAAGGAAGCCCGATAATCCAGGGGGGTAGACCCGACACTGAGGTCGGCAACATAATAGCATATGCGCTGAATTATATGTTGCGCAACTTGTGTGGAACAATCTTTGTGGTGCAACCCGCTTGGTGGAATCCATGGTGTGCAATACTTGTTGTTTTAACATTTATGATGTGGGACCTATGGGGTATATGTTTGGAGCATTTGGGTGTAAAACGGCCTCACGGTCGGTTCCGTCAACCCAAAAAACGACGGCGACCACGACGAGCACATGACCCTGCCACAGGCTCGGACATGCGGCAGGCGGTGGAGGGAGGAGCGGGGGGAGGAGGCGGAGGAGGAGGCGCAGCAGGAGGAGGAGGAAGAGGAGGAGGAGGATGAGGAGGAGGAGAAAGAAAAAGAGGAGGAGGCGGAGGAGGAGAGCCCGGGGCCGGGGCCGGGGCCAGGGCCGGGGCCCAGCCTGGCGTTGGGACGCGTCGGCAGGGAGGGTAGCACTATCAACGCTACATCTTCATTTGGAATTCGCCGAGGGGCAGCGTACGCGGTTTGCGTTTCTGGGGCGATGGAGCACGGGGTAATGCTTGTAGGGTAACAGCAAGCCTATGCAGCCCAATCGTCGGTAAGAGCCAACCTAAGAGTTGAGCTTCTTGCAAATGGGGGTCGTATATAAGGATTGCGATTGACAGATCAAGTGCGCTGGCCGAGCGTACTGGGATCTGGCCCTGGAAACAAGGGTGCCCCCGACCTGCAAATCATCACCACCATCATAGACCTCCACTAACCTCCAAGTGTTCTCTCTCCCTTCCTCTTCCTGCCAGGGATCAAGGAGCGTGTCTCCTCGGAAAGCCCCCACCCAAGCTTTATCCCTCCGCTCCCCCACTCCCTTCCTGGACCTTCCTCATTCTACCTCCGGTCCCCCTGTGGGCAGTGAACCTTTCCAGATATCTGGCTATATGTTCTTCTCGGTGCGCGGCCCCAGAGGTCCCGACCTCTTGCACCAGGGCAGGTTTTCGTCCCGTATCCGTTTTTGATGGCCCAGGGGCCTGCTGACGGGTCCTGGAGGCCGACATCGAGGGAAGGACGACTGGATTGGAAACAACCGTATCGTGGGAGATTTGGTTTTTCCATCTCCTCGATTTCCCTCACCCACCCCTTCCCCGCGCTCCAGCAGCGCCTCGCGAACATGGAGTTTTCCGACGACGAGGCGGGCGCGCGCGCGCGCCGGCCGATCCCGCGGGCTGCGGCTGGTCTTTCTCTCTCGTTGTTGCCCCCCATCCCAGCGCCCCTGACGGAGTGGGGGCGAAGGCAGAGGAGGAGGAGGAGGAGGCTCGAGGATGCTCGGGCAGTGCCAAGGGGGGTCACCATTAGGGAGGTCACCGGCTCCTCTTGGGAAATCGAGCATTCAGGATAGGTTTTTGGACGTCTGAGATTGTTTTGGGGGGCTCTGGGGTGTTCTTGGGGGCCCACATCCTTGAGGAAATGGCGTATTCCTCGAAGAAGTGGCGACCACCTTGGTGGCGACCCACGTTGGCATTGCCCCAGGGACGGAGGAGACGACCGCGGCCCTCCCCTGCGTTCTTTGTCCTTTGCGGGCATCCATGCAGGGGCTTCTCGACGCCACGCCTGGATCCGCCTTGAAAAGTGGTGTCAGGATGCACCTGAGGAGGGACGGCTTTTGAACGGATTGGGGCAGGGCAGGGCGTGAGAGCCGCCGTCTGAACTATCCCTCCCCCGAGAGGAGGATCATTTTCGAAGGTCTGCACGGATGCATTCAATGACCCCCCCCTTTGAGGGAGCCCCCTCTATCGTCACCCCTCTCGCTAGCGGCGGACGAGGATCGGCAGAACATGAATTAAAACCGCCATCGGGAAAGCCCGTCAGGAAAGCTTCTACCCCCACGATGGCACGCCAGGGCACAAACTCTCCAGCACCCGCCCCCGACGCTGGACAGGTTTGTTTCCTACCGTTCTTCGTTCACTGGCCCTCTCCTACGACGTCGCGTTTTTTGGCGACGTCGGCGCCCCAGCACCTCGACCGTTTCCCCGTGGCCAGATTTTTCCTCAAACAGGTGCTTGCATCTAGGGTTTCTTACTCGGTCTACCGATCTGGCCATGCCTGCCGGCTTTTCGATCCTGTGCCGCCCCGTGCCGCACCGCATAGATTCTCCTTTCAAAAAAGAGAATAGACTCTACCCCCCCCCGGCGTTATCGCCCCCCCCTTTCGGGTATGTAAACCATATATGATTATGACCACATGTCCATCCTAAATATGAATTTACATTATCCCAGGGGAACCAGTATCGCTCCCCCTGAGTTTCCCATGTAAAAAACAATACGCGGGGACATGTTTTGTTCTAACATAGCACTTTTTCGCGAATCCCTTGCAACAAATGGGACGAAGTGCACACGCGCGCGTCGTCGCGCGCGCATGCCGAAATCCTTCAAAAACTTTCGGTGTCGGAAGGATTTCGCAAAAGAGTGTCCAACACATATACAAAAACACAAGGTTTCGCAACACTGAATTGCAAAAAAAGCTTACGTGCGAGCTCTTGCGAAATCGTAAAATAACCATAGGTTTTTCAAGATTTTCACACAATGCTACCAAACGGGCTTCGCGCGCGCATGTCGAAATCTGTCGAACGCCCTTGCGCGTGTGCCGTCGCGAGAATCCTCTGCAACAAATAAGACGAAGTGCAGACGCGCGCGTCGTCGAGCGCGTATGCCGAAATCCTTCAAAACCCACAGGTTTCTGAATGATTTCAAAATCGTGTGTCCAAAAACTTACAAAAAACACAAGGTTTCGCAACACGGATGGTCAACAAAAGCGTGCGCGCGCGCTCTTGCGTCGTCGTCGTCGTCGTCGTCGTCGCCGTCGTCTTCCCTCCTCCCGCGTCGTCGTCGTCGTCGCCTACGTCGTCCTCTGTCTTTCCCCGTGTTCGTCGTCGTCGTCCTCTTTGGCGTCGTGGTCGTTTCCGTCGTCGTTGTCGCCATGGTCTTCCTTCCTCCTCCTCCATCGTCGTCTTCGTCGTCCGTCGTCGGCGTCTCGTCGTCGTCCCTCCTATTTCGTCGCCGTCGTCGTCGTCGTCGTCGTTGTCGTCGTCGTTGTCGTCGTCGTCTTCTCTCCTCCCTCGTCGTTGTCGTCGTCGGCGTCGCCGTCCTTTCTCCTTCTTCGTCGTTCGCGTCGCCGCCGTCCTCCCGCCTCCCTCGTCGTTGTCGTCGTTGTCGTCGTCGTCGCCCTCCATCCTCCCTCGTCGTCGTCGTCTTCGTTGGCGACGTCGTCGTCGTCGTCGGCGTCGGCGTCGTCGTCTTCGTCGTCGTCGTCGGCGTCGTCGTCGTCGCCGTCGTCGTCGTCGTCGTCGTCGTCGGCGTCGACGTCGTCGTCGTCGCCGTCGTCGTAGTCGGTCTTACGAGGTTTTGCAAACCAAGTTGCGGGTGGGTGGGTGGGATGTTTGCAAGAGCATGGGATGTGTCAAATCATCGATTAAAATCAAGTGCACCGCACATATTGCACCGCATAGTTTGCACCGTATAGGTTGCACCGCGTAGATTGCGACGCGTAGATTGCACCACATAGAATCTGTTCTACCACCCTCCCCCCCTGGGGTTAAAGTTCCCCCGGAAACCGATGCAACACATATTGGATTCCGACCCAATGTCCATCCTACATGTCAGTTCATTCTATCCCAGCCAAACCCGAATCGCCCCCCCCGCCATCCTCTGCAATAAATACTATGCGCGCGCACTCGTTTATCAAAAGTCGTTAAGTTTTCAAGAATCCCTTGAAAACGCAGACGAAGTGCACACGCGCGCGTCGTCGCGCGCGCATGCCGAAATCCTTCACAACCTCAGGTTTCGGAAGGATTTCAAAACCGAGTTCCCACACAACATACAAACACACAGGGTTTCGCAACACTGATTTTCTGAAACAACTTTGGCGCGCGCTATTGCTAAATATTGAGAAAACCATAGGGTTTCATCATCTTCAAAAAATACTACCAAACGGGCTGCGCGCGCGCATGTCGAAATCTTTCGAACGCCCTTGCGCGCGTCCGTCGCGAGAGTCCTCTGCAAAAAATTGGACGAAGTGCTCGCGCGCGCGTCGTCGCGCGCGCATGCCGAAATCCTTCACAAACCTCAGGTTTCGGAAGGATCTCAAAATCGAGTTCCCACACAACATACAAACACACAGGGTTTTGCAACATGGATTTTCTGAGAAAACTTTGGCGCGCGCTATTGCTAAATATTGAGAAAACCATAGGGTTTCATCATCTTCAAAAAATACTACCAAACGGGCTGCGCGCGCGCATGTCGAAATCTTTCGAACGCCCTTGCGCGCGTGCCGTCGCGAGAGTCCTCTGCAAAAAAATGGACGAAGTGCTCGCGCGCGCGCGCGTCGTCGCGCGCGCATGCCGAAATCCTTCACAAACTGTAGGTTTCGGAAGGATTTCAAATCGAGTCCCAAATATGCAGAACCACACGGTTTCGCAACATTGATGTTCAACAAAAGCGTGCGCGCGAGCGCTCTTCCGTCGTCGTCGTCGTCGCCGTGTCGCCGTCCTCCCTCCTCCCTCGTCGTCGTCGTCGTCGTCGTCGTCGCCGTCGTCGTCCTCTTCTGCATCGTCGTCGTTTCCGTTGTCGTTGTCGCCGTGGTCGTCCTTCCTCCTCCCTCGTCGTCGTCGTCGTCCGTCGTCGGCGTCTCGTCGTCGTCCCTCCTATTTCGTCGCCGTCGTCGTCGTCGTCGTCGTCGCCGTCGTCTTCCCTCCTCCCTCGTCGTTGTCGTCGTCGGCGTCGCCGTCCTCCCTCCTTCTTCGTCGTTGGCGTCGTCGCCGTCCTCCCTCTTCCCTCGTCGTTGTCGCCGTCGTCGTCCTCCTCCCTCGTTGCCGTCGTCGTCTTCGTTGGCGACGCCGTCGTCGTCACCGTCGTCGTCGTCTTCGTCGTCGTCGTCGTGGTCGTCGTCCTCGTCGGCGTCATCGTCGTCGTCGGCGTCGGCGTCGTCGTCGTCGTCGGCGTTGTCATCGGCGTCGGCGTCGGCGTCGGCGTCGTCGTCGTCGTCGTCGTCGTGGTTGGCGTCTTCGTAGTCGTTGTCGGCGGCGTCGCCGTCGTCGTCGTTGTCGCCGTCGTCGTCGGCGTCGGTGTCGTTGCCAAGTGCCATTTGGTATCTACCGTCACGGTCTTGGGAGGTCGCGCGACCAAGTTCCGGGTGGGAGGGTGGGATGTTTGCACGAGCAGTGGGGAGGACAGCTTCAAGTTGAGCAAGTGATTGATTGCACCGCGTAGGTTGCACCACATAGATTGCACCGCATAGATTGCACCGCGTAGATTGCAACGCGTAGCTTGCACCGCATAGATAGCACCACGTATATTGCAATGCGTAGCTTGCACCGCATTTCTTGCACCCCGTAGATTGCATCGCGTAGCTTGCATCGCATAGATTGCACAAATCTATTGTTTTGGGTCCACGCTGGCTAACATTATCATGTGGACGGCTTCCATAGGCTGACAACAAGGACAAACAGGTCGTCGCGATTTTGTTTGCGCCGCCCGGACTTGAGGGGCTCGTTCTGTACGCCGCAGATCCGCTGGAGGCCCACGGGAGGCCGGGCCATCCGCAAGGGGGTGCGAAGAAGGCCCCGCCAGCCGCCAGCGTTCGGCCTCGCGAGGCGCGGGCCCTCCTGAGGAGCCTGGGCGGCCGAGGATGCCGCCAGGTGCCCGGGCGGAGCCCTCGCGGTGCCATTTGGGCTCCTCGGAGGTCCCAGGGAGGACTCCCGGGTGGCCCCAGGTCCAGATGTGGGTGCCGTTTGTTGCTGTGGAGATTGTTTTTCGGCGTGCCGCCTGTTGCTGGAAGCAGATCGGGAAGTTAGCCCCAAGTCAGGGAACTGTCGGCGTGCGCGTTGTGCCGTTTCGTATGTTGTTGAGCGCAGCGCCATCGACCCCAGACACGCGCGCACGTCGCAGCCTCCAAGCAAACTCAGAACGACGATTTGACCAACCTGCAGTACGCGAGCCCGTTCGCAGAGCCGTGGCCAGGAAGAAGAGGGCCCCGCTGTGGCTATATGAGCACGTGCTGGAGGAAGGGGGCGGAGGGGAAGCGGAGGAAACAGGAGGAGGCGGAGGCGGAGGCGGAGGAGGAGGAGGAGGAGGAGGAGGAGGAGGAGGAGGAGGAGGAGGAGGAGGAGGATAGGGGTGGGCGGGGTGCTTGCCAAAATTCCCAGCCCATTCGTGCAAGCAATGGGAAGCGGATGGGTGTTACGTCTGGTATTGCGTCGGTTAGTTTCCCGGGCTCTCGCGGAGCTCTGGGCCGCGGAGGGAGGCCGCTGGGTGCCCAGGCGGTATTGGCGCAGTCCCCTCTTCGGGGGCAGCATTTGAGGGGACGCTCAGGGGAGATCGAATCGACCCCACGTGGGCCACTGATTGCGGGTAGGGGCCCGATAGGGGCCTGACAGCCCATCCCACCCAGGAGCACGTGGTTTGGCTATCGGGTGGCCGTCGACGATCAATGGGCGGTGTATCGTGCATATCGTCAAACATCCCACGCACAAGCACGTTCGAAGGTCGGTTGCGGATTTCTAGGATCTGCGCTGCACCCCCTGGCGGCGCATGCGCCGCCGCCCCTTTGGCGCGCGCCGCGCGCCAGGGAACGGGCTCCAGCTCCGATCCAAGAGACCCGCGCGGATCTTCGACAGGCTTATGCCGATTCAGCTTCTTCCATCGCGGAGCCCCCACCCCTCCAGTGCTTTTTTTCTCCGGGGGAGGGGGGGCAGCCGTTGTATCCCAGTGTTTACTTGTTCAAACATCTGAATGGCTTCGCCATCCGCCGCCGGCCCCCCTCAGATGGCTTGCCTGGCCACACTTGATCGGTCCTGAACGTGGGGACCAGTACTTCCAGCAGTGCAAGCCCCTCAAACAGGCGCCGCCTGGCCAGTGCACTGCCCGCCTCGCCCTCCCTGGCGAGACGCGCGTGTCCCTGGCGGCGCCGCCCTCGTCCCTGGCGCTCCCTGATGCCTTGGCCCCGCCGCCCTGCCCAGCCCTGGCGAGACGCGCCCTGGCCGCGCTTGCGCCGGCCTCCCCGGTCGACCCGCCCCGCAGGCCCAGTGGGGGCGACAGGGCGATGGCCCGGATCATGGTCGACTACGCCAGGCGGCTGTTGGCGCGATTCCGTCGACGACCGAACGCTGGGAGGCCCCGGGACGTCGGCCACGGGGCTTGGCGTTCGGCGCTGGGACCACGGCACATGCGCCAAGTTCCTGGAGCGGGTCTACGGCGGCACGGTGCCGGGGGGTGGATCCCTGTCGCGCGCCCCTCGCGCGGCAGTCGCGCGGCCCTGGCGCGCGTGGCCGCATGGGTCTTCACCGCCAAGGGTAGGACCAGAGGCAGCCTGGCTACCCAGCCGGACAACTGGCCTTGCCCCTGGCAGACCTTCCTACGGTCCAGAGCGGCCCTCCGTGGCACCGACCCGACTGGGTACGACGAGCAGGTCCTGATTCCTTGGCAGCCAGGCAGCCTTGGGCAGGGCGGCGCTTTTGGCGCAGGCGCCTAGCAGCAAGGGCATCGGTGGCCGTCCTCGGGGGAGCTCGACGGCCCCTGCCGCGGAGCGGGCTGTCTCAATGATCTTTGCGCACCAGGCCCCCCCCCGCCGGCGAGGCAGCCCAGGGCAGGGCCGTGCGCCTTGCGCAGGCGGCTGGCGGCAGGGGCACGGCCCCCGCCCCTGGACGGGATGGCCCCGCACTGGGGAGCCCAAGCGCCCCTGCTACGGAGCAGGCTGTCACTGCGACCGATGGCGGGTCCGAGGAGGTCGGCGGCCCCCCCGCTCCAGCCAACGAGCCCGGCGACGAGCCCGCCGGTCCTGGCCCGGACTGGGGCTAAGACGACGACCCTGCGCGCCCGCCCGATTCTGGCGACGACGACGAGGGCGACGGCGCCAGCGCGGGGGGGGCCTTGCAGGCCAGGGCTGCAGACCCGACTGACGAGGCGGACCACCGCCGAGGGTTGGACCAAGCCGCAGGGCCAGACGTCTCGCACACGGGGCTGGCACCATCTTTGCAGACTGGGGGTTACTTCGTGGCCAGGGACGACGCTGGCGCCCCCGCGAGACGTGCTGGCGCACGCAGAGAAGGACGAGGGTGGCCGACCGACTCTCGCCCAACGTCTCTCCTGGCGCGGTGGCAGGACCAGTCGACGAGGTCCACGCAGGACGCTTCCTGTGCGCCAGGTTTGGGTGCACCTGGGTCGCGGCAGGGGGTGGCGCAGACACGATGCGCCTGGCCAGGGTCATCGAGCGGCCGCCCAGCCAACCGCGCCGCCCACGCAGCCCTGGCCAGGAAGGGCCCAACAATGCCTTCTGGACCAGGGGCAGTGGCTCCGGCCCCCACGCCAGCGCTGGCGCGGCTGGCAGGATGCGTGCGATAACTTGTACCGAGGGCCCTCGTGCAATATTGGGCGGGGGCAGTTTCGGGGGCGCAGGGGCCATCGCTTCGAGGCCTGGCCCGAGGGCATCAACCGGCTCAAGTCATCTGTGGAGCGACGTTCGTGGAGGGCTGCGGGCGCTGCGATGCAGACGGCAACGAGGAGTTCTGCGCGCGGTTTCTATCGGACTTGGCCGACTGTCAGAGCGACGGGCAGCACTTCTGCCGTCGCCGCAGGATCTGGGTAATTAGACTGGGGTGGCGCAGCAGCAGGAGCAGCAGCAGCAGCAGCAGCAGCAGTGGCGGAGGGGAGCGCAATGGTGACAAACGCTCCCGCGACGCCACCTGGCTCTCGGGGGGCCGCTCCCGCCCGCGTGGGAAATGGCTCACGGCGGGGCAGGATGCCCGCGCGATGGGCCCCCGTCGCCAGCGCGCTTTGCAGGGCCTGGACGATCGGGGCCCACGCGCGCGGCCCTTTTGGCGCCCAGACAGACGCGCGGCCTCTCCCGACCCCGCGCGTCGCTGGCGGCGGCGCCGCCAGGGCGGTGCGGGCCCTCCTGGTGGGCCGCTTCCCTCCTCCAGGCAGGAGCGCCTACCCTCCGAGGTGGGCGCTCCTTTGCTCAATTCAATGTGTGGTTGCACAAGGCTGGCGCCCTGGCCGGAGTATCTGCTTTCCAAGGTGGACGCTCCCTGTTCCAATGCTCTTGCGGCAATCAGGTGCGACTGGCTGCGGGCCGCCCCCTGGCGGCCTGGCCTCCCCTCGCGCTCGCGCCCTCCGCGCTGGCGACCTCCCCTCGGCGGCCTTGCCCTGCGCGCGGTCCCTCCAAGGTCCAAGGGCAGCGTATTGGGTGGGGCCCCACAGGCCCCTCCGGGCCTGCAACGCCCTGCCGCTCATGCGGCCAGGCCTCCGTCATCGCCCGGCTGTCCATGTGGCCGGGCTGCTGCCCGCCCCGCCCCGCTGTGATGCGCGCGCTGGCTGGGGCGCCTCTTGTCATCCGTTCTTTCCTCCGCCGCCTTCGTGTTCTCCTCCTTCCTGTTCTCCTCCTGGGCCGCGCCGTCCTGGCGCCGTCTGGGCCGCTGCCGCCGCCCGCTGCCAGCCAGCGCTCCCAGCCTTTGCTACCGCCGCTTCGGCAGTCGCCAGCATCCTGGTGGCCAGTTGCAGAGGGAATTTGTGCTGCAGCCTACGCGCTTCGGCGCAGCCCCGTGCGAGATTCGTGTTTTCGCCTGGGCCATGCTGGTCGTGCGTCCAGCTGGCGCCGGCCCTTTGCAGCAAAGCCTGACGTTCCCTGGCAATCTGACGGGCAACCGGATGCTCCCGATCATGCAGCCTCGTGGGCCCTTCTCCTGGTGCAGTGGTCCACATTGCATTTCACAATCCCAGCGCTTGTAGCTCTGGCTTCGGTCCCTAGGTGTGGCTGTGAGCCGTCCCGCGTCCATTGCCATGGCAGTTCAGCCCTGGCTGGCCGCTCCTGCGCGCCCACCCTGAAACACTTTCAGCCGTGAGCGCCCTCCTTCTCTCGCCCAGTCGCGCAGCCGAACACTTAGCTTGTCGCGTGTTCCCGACAGAGGCCAGGGATTCTGCTTACAAGCTCACCGCAGGCTGCTGATCTTCACGTTGCCAACGCTGATGTCAGGACACCTGTTCCAATCGTACCCATACGCGGGCACCCCACATCGGATGGCCAGCGTCGTCGGCAGGAAATCATTTCCGAACGTGCCAGCGCGGTTATGGCGCGCATACCTGGACCAACACTTTTGCTAGGTAGCTCATTCCATGAGTGCCCGCTCGCACGCGATGGTCGTATCGCTGCCAGCGCTGATACCAGTCAAATCAATCCAAACGCGCCCGTTCGCTTCCAGCACGCTTGCGGTTTTTGCGTAACATATAGTATTCGGCCTGTTGGGCCCCAAGGGGGCGGCGGAATTTGTTTGTTTGTTCCCTGGTTCTCTTCTGCAACACAAACAGATAATCACACGTTTCACTTGGACGCGTTGCGAAAAGGGCGGGTGGAGAAGGGCGTCGTCGGAGCAACACTCCCAAAGGTGGGGCTCGACCCGTACTTTCCACCTCTTCCCTTTCTCTGTTCACCAGTTCCTTCTCCTTCCCATCATTATCATCATATTTGTCGTCCTGCTTCCCTTGTGTCCTTTTCATCACGCCCCCGTCCTCTCTCGTCCTTCGCCGTTGTCCTGATGATCCTCTTTTTCCTGGCAGCGGGAATGGGGGAAGGATCGATGGTACGGTAGGTTCGTGTCGTGTCGATGCGGCGGCAGGCTGAGCGAGCCACGCGGTGTCAAATACCAGCGCCAGTGTCGTCACGACACAAGCTTGCCGCCGTCGTTCGCCGAGTGACCCTCGCGCCGTCAGTGGCCTAGACTCGGCCGATGTCAAGCGATCCGCGCTATCGCTGAGCACGCAGTGTCAGAACCATCGCCACGGCGAAAACTGGTAGGCATGAACATTCGGAGGTCCGCGTTCTCGCTTCGGCGCAGGCCTCCCCTCCCTAGCGCGCGCGGAGCGCGCCAGGGGCGGCGCCAGAGGCGCCGCCAGGAAGTCCAGCGTGGATACGAGAAATACGCGCGTACTTCAACATATTATGTTTACGGCGTTGCTTTTCCCACCAGCGATCGAGTGCTGAGAGGGCCCGCGGGGGTAACCGCAGGACGACGACGACGACGACCCGCTGGGCATCAAAGCGAAGGAGTAGCTGTTCGACTGCAGGTGCTTTTCGCTTGGTTCCGGCGATGGTGAATTCTGTCGCGGATGGGTTTTATAATGGTTCCATTTTACTTGCTTACTTACTGACTTACCTTCGAGCCTTGCTGTCTCTGCTGCGCACGTTGGTTCCGCAGCAGTCTGTCATTGACTGGCGTTATTTGTTTCACGCGGAGCATCTACAGTGGCTCCAGCGGCTGATGTATCATCTTGGCGCCTCCGATAAGCTGTCGGGGCTTCGCCCGTAGGAAGATCGCAACCCAGTCGTCGCTCTTTGGAATGCAAGCACGCCCATTTTCGCCTGCTCCCTGACAGGGAGCGGCCAGGACGTGGTCGGGGAGAGCTACGCGTTCAGCAAGAGGGCGCGGATTTGTGGGGACAGAGTGGCAGCCAGAAGGGCATAATCAAAATAGTCTCGTATGATTCGGAGCATCCTGGGAGCTTCGGAATCGAGACCAATTGCAGACGGGATTCATGCTCCACCTCCCCGATTTTCCCTCGTTCTCCTCCTCCTCCTTCTCCCTCTCCTCCTCCCTTTCCTCCTTCCATTCCCATCTTCCCCCACGCAAAGCTCCTTGGAATCCCGCAGACCCCCCACAAGCCTTTCAAAACACTTACCCAGCCCAAGCTGGGGCCGGAGTAGATGGGATCGGAGGATGGCATCGCATCGCCGATGCATTCGGTACGCTGCGCTGGAGCTCGGTTTTCTGAATCTGGGCGACAGAAGAAGACGGGTCCATCTGCGCCGACCTTCGCGCCTAAGCTTAAGCTTCCCGTGTAAGGTTGTAAACGCCCTCGTTTCTTCTGTAGCGTGCCGCGCTGGCGGCCTGCGTATGCCACCGCGTAAGGTCGCTATGCATTCTCGCGTGAAGCCCGTCTTTTCGTCGCTCATTTGGACGTCGCCGATGCATCGCCGATGCATCGCTGACCTCATCCAGGAGACCCCTGCTCACGCTTCCCCCTTCCGCCCCCGCCCTCCCCCCCACGGCGGGGGGCCCTGCAGCCTTCGCGGCGCATGCCTCCAGCTCCTTTGGGGCTCGAGCTCTCGTCACCGTCTGCGTGGTCGTCGTCATTATCGTCGGTTGAGGAGAACGCGACGGATAAGTAGTGTGGGGGGAAGGAGGAGGTACAGGAGGAGGATGAGGACGACGACGGAGGAGGAAGAGGAAGAGGAGGAGGAGGAGGACAAGGAAGACGAGGAGGACCATTGTAAACCTAGGACGTACTAGCGATGTTACAAGAACCCCTCCCTCCATGCCCCCTCTTCACAGGTCCCCATAACCTCATGCCCGTGAGAATAAACACTAGGGGATAATAAAGTTCGGGGTTCAGGGAGAGATAATAAAAGTAGCCCAGCAGACCTCAGCATAATCTCGAAGTAAGAGATGATCAAGAGGAGACCAAGCCGAGCACGTTTTGAGACATCCTTGGCGTTTAGTTTTCATAAAATATCCTCAACAATGGCTTATCTCGCTGGAGACATCCTCGACAAGAAGAAGAGAAGACGAAGAAGCAGGAAGAAGAAGAGAAGAAGAAGAGAAGAAGAGAAAAAAAACAAGTTTCGAATGTATTAGATTTTATTTGCAAACGCTTTGTGGACATTGATGTTTTTAAGTGCTCGTGTAGGGTAGCTCATGTGCCTCACTTTCCCTGGATAATCAACCCCAGGGATAATCAAGTTCAGGCGAGCGTGGGGAGAGATAGAACTATAAAATAAGAACAGGAGAGTAGAATAATAATAAGATGATAAGGAAAGAAGAATAAGAAGGAATAATATAATAAGACGAAGAGAAGAAGATAACAAAATAAAAAAAAGTTTCGAATGTATTAGATTTTATTTACAAGCGCTTTGTGGAAATTGATGTTTTTAAGTGCTCGTGTAGAGTAGCTCATGTGCCTCACTTTCCCTGGATAATCAACCCCAGGGATAATCAAGTTCAGGCGAGCGTGGGGAGATATAGAAATATAAAAGAAGAAGAGGAGAGTAGAAGAAGAATAGGAGGAGAAGAATGGACAATTATTGGTTTCGCTTGACACATCCTGAAAAAGTGTGATCGCTTCGCTTGATGTTGCTATATCAACATCGCTTGATGTTGCTATCTCAACATAGCGTTTCGAGGTGATAATGAAGTTCGGCCTCAGCGCTCGCCGCCCAATTTTGAATTCTGTATAGGGCGACGATAATCAACTCTAAACACTAGGGGGGGGGGTCCCTTTATTATCATCGGCATGCGGTTACGAGTTTGCTAATTGCTGGAAGGGCCACATGGGAAACAACTGCCTGAGAACCCTCAGTCGTGCCACAGCACCGCTTCTGAGACACCAGCGCCGCGAATCCATGTGACTGCTGCGTCCTGGCAACCGTTAATCTCACCGGACTGTGACGAGTGTGCGCGGCGCTCCGGCGAGGGCTACACTCCGAACACAACCCGCCCTCCAGCCTTGCAGCCGTTGCACGTCAGGCTTCCAGGTCAGAAGCGGTGAAATCTCGGGCGAAACGCCCGGCTCGCCCGACCGACACGTTTGGGGGTGCGAGAGGGGGGAGTTCGGTATAAGGAACAGGGATTGAGGAGGAGGCGGAGGCGGAGTACGGGCAGGGAGCGGGACCAGAGAGAGGAGGAGGCGGAGGAGGAGGAGGTGGAGGAGGAGGACAAGGAGGAGGAGGAGGAGGAGGAGGAGGAGAAGGAGAACGGATCCGGATTCGGAGTGACAGCGCAGCAATATCATTGACTGTGCTGTTCCGGTGCGAGTCGTCGCTCCACCTTGTGAGCCAGACCTCTCTCCACACACGCGAAATCGACTCTCGCCATTTCTTAGAAAGATGGGAGGAAGTCACACTCAACGGTGAGGGGCTTCCTCAGTTGAGCCTGCCCGAAATTCGCCCTAGCAGTGCAAATCCAGATTCTCGAACCCGGGATCTACTTCATGAGCAGCGAGTTGTCAACCCCCCCACCCCACGCCTCCGCACGGTGCATTATCCTACCTGCGGCTGGCTGAAGGAGGTCCCCTGTGGTGGGCACGAGTGCGCAGCACGGAGCACTAAGCCAGGAGCATTGACCCGCCCTTGTGCATGAGTTGAAGCACCTCGTGCACATCTCGCCATTCTCGGCCACCGCATGCTCGGAGGCGAAGAGAACAACGGCGGCGGGCGCGGGCGGGGGAGGTGGCGGGGAAGTGGGAGGGGTCTCAGCAGCGGCGCCAGTTTCACCACGGTGCGTTCTCTCGATCTGCCTCTGGACACGCTCGGCTCCGTTGGCTTCGAGGGTTGATCTCATGAGCTGTTTTTTGAGAATATTGGGCTTCTGTTCAACTAGTGCGATCTGGAATCTATGAACTTCTGAAGCTCGATGAGCCTTACTACACTCACCTTCCAGTTCGTCCGACGAGGTTAAGCCTAGGACACCGGCAGAACTAAGATCTCGTCAGCACTGTGGCCAGTCATATGTTGAGCAATTGCTTGCCGACGATCTGCCATCTCCCCGCTGGGTGAAAGCCGTTTGTTTGCCACCAGCCTCCACCGACCTCCCCGTTGCCTAAAACGAAGACGACGACTTCAGCGGTGAAACCTAAAACTTAAGCATCCTCTCACACAATCATAATCAGCATGCTCACAGTACTAGGTATCATAATGTGATGTTTCGTGCCATGCCCCAGACACCCTGGACTCAACTCGGTCAACGCCTTGGTCTGCCAATGCTCCTCATTCACGGCCGGGTCGATTCTAGTCTAACTATTTGGGATGTTGCCACGCTGCCAGAAACATATACCCGCCATTCCCCGCGTGATCGCCTCGGGGATGGTATCGTTCGGCGCAGTGTAAATCTGTTTCTCACAGTTTTTGAACAACGGCAGTGTCTGTGCAAAGGTGTTCCAGGATCTCGCTGACATCTAGGATGTAGGTCGTGCTGTGCTAATTTTCCCTTCGCCTTCCTTGGCTGAAGCCGTGGCTCGCCGACTGCTATACCCAGCAACAGCTCAGCTAAATTCTTACCGTGCGGTGTATCCTCAAACTGATTGAACAACAATCGGAGACTGTAGTTGTCGGCGCCGCCTTCCAGAACTGCACCTTGTAATGCTCAGCTGCGAGCTTCCACTGGCGTAGAGAACATGCTTCGATCAACTCCGCCATCAAATTTCTAGCATGGTCGACGGCCCGTTGACGGCCACCAGCTGATCTGTGGCAAATTCCAAACAAGTCTGGCGTGCCATCGCAGGCTGGGCTGTGCCATGCATCAGGCTGGACAGGATCCCAACCAAGAAGAATGAGCTCATGGATGATCACAGGCATCGGACTCCGGCTGTGCTCTGTGCGATTTCCAGGGCCGACTTTCTGCATATGTTGACAGACTAATGGCCAAGCGCGACCTACACCTGCTCTACAGCTAGGAACGCAGATCCATGCATCTTCAGGCATGCAGCCACTGACGCAGGCATTTAGCTGGCAAACTGATCCCTGGATCCTGACGTGGCGTGCTTAAGTCAAGAAGGGCTGTGGTGCATCGATCGCTCGTATCCGTAAGGGCTTCGCCCTCTGCCGTGAACCCCCTCCCTATGATAATTGGACGTGCTTCCGCTTCGTTAGGATGCCTGGATGTCGACTTGAAGCAATATCAGAACCTCATGCGCGTAAGATCGGTAATCGTAAAGTCATTTGCGAGGGATGTGGCCTCAGGCACGCGAACCTGGCTGAACTTACAAGGGATCGTGGCGTCGGGGGCGGGCATCTGGTGTGATTTACAAGGGATCGTCGCCTCGGGGGCGCGAATCTGAAGTAATGAACGGGGGATTGTGGCCTCTGGGGCGCGAATCTTGCGTAATTCACTCGGGATACGGCCTCGGGGGCGCGAATCTGGCGTTTACGAGAGGTCATAGCGTCGCCGGGGCGAATCTTGCGTCTTTTGCGAAATGCGAATCATGATCAAACTGCGAGGGATTATTGCTTCGGGGGCGCGACTATCAAGTATGTTAACGTATCCATGGGCCTCCCAGAAG